TAACAGCTTAAACCAAGTCATGTTTTCCATGATATTTATTACTCCCAAGCAGATCTAATTTTCATTGGCTATCAAGTAGTACAACAGGTCTTGAAAAATATGTGCTGTTTTGCCTGGGTGCTAAAAGCATCACCAATAATTTTGATTTATGTGTCCTGACACTGAATGCATTAGCCATACAATATTCTTCTTGCTTAAAGGCTAATTAGAATTCAAGTCAGCATGATACCTGCTTTTGAGTATTACAGCAAGAACATTTATTATAATAAGAACCTCCAGGCAGCCAGTTTTGGTAATGATTGATTTGCAAAATTATTGGGGAGAAAAAAAGAATGAGAAAGTAGAGTCTACCTCCAAAACACTTATTTCCCTTAAGGATCAAATTGGAGTAGAAATTTAAACATCTTGGTGGCTTTGTTGAAAATGAACTACAATAGCAGGTTTATTTAAAATCCAGAAAACACACCTTTCTGATTTTTTTTTAAAAAGAATTACATCATGAAAGCATACTCAGTGTATTTATTGGAGGTTTCATTATGGTTTCTAAAAATCTCTGATTTCTAATTGTATGAGTTTCCTAATTGCTCTCTTAAATTATTCAACTTCTCAGATGGACTTCGTGCAAGCAGGAAATAATTATAAGTAACAATGACATAATGCTGTCCTTTTAACTTGTATTTGTTCTTTTTATTTTTCTCTTTTAGGAATTCATTTCACAATCTCTGTTACTTCCAAAAGTTTTCCTCTGCTGTTTTTAAAATGTGATTTGGTGTTTCTGAGAAACCTCTAGTGGATTTAGGAGATAAGTTTCTATTAGATTACTAAGCACTATACCTAAGCCTAAGAATGCCAAAATAAATGTTTCTGCCAACAGTAAGAGTTAATCTTATATGAGTTAGTGTCAAAGATGGTTTCATACGATGAGGTAGAAAGTTAGTTACTGCCTCCTACCCTCCCAGTCCTCAAGTTCTTGATCTGAATGTTAAATTTTCACTATTGTGGAAGCCAGAACATCAAGCTCTGAGGGAAGAAATACTGTAAAAATTTCTTTGCCACGTAAGTGATTTTTTTCTTTCTGACTTGATGTAATTTTTACTGTATCATAGTCTGTCTGTCTCAACTTTTTTTTTTTTTTTTTTTTTTTTTTTTTTTTTTTTTTTTTTTTTTTTTTTTTTTTTTTTTTTTTTTTTTTTTTTTTTTTTTTTTTTTTGCCTAATTTACTTTCTGAATATGGTGAGATATATTGGTGGTATATGATGAAAGGAGAAAACCATTGAAAATCTACATTTGTAAAAAATGTCTTGGATTCAGGCAACACTGGTACCTGGAGAATTTCCATCACTACGTGCCAAGTTTTCCTTTCGCTTTTCCTATGAACAGTTTCAGGAAAGACAACTTTGACAGTGTCATGGAATACCAAGAACATTGTGCTCGTTCACCCATTGTCCTTAGAACACATCTGGGTAAGGGGAACAGTGTGATGATATGTTTCAGGAAAAAGCAGGCGATTTTACTGCTCTTAAGGGAGTTTTCAGAACTTACATCTATTAACCTATAGAGTATAGATAACTTTATGTTCTATAGGTTAAAATTACTCACAGGAGAAAAGACTACAAGCAGGTGCATAATCAATGTTTCCAATATTCTGAGCTTTCCCAAGAAAAATAACAATAGCCAAAACTTACATAGCATTTACTATATGCTTGGCAATATTTTAAGAGCTGTACATACATTAATTCATTTAATTCCACAACCCTCTGAGTTATATTCACTGATGATTCTCATCTTATGAGGAAACAGAGGCACAGAATGTTTATAGAACTTGTCCAACATCATACCAAGGGTAAAGGGTAGAATCAGGATCCACACATGGGTGGTCTGTCTAAAGTCATTGCTCTATACTGTACTGTTTAATTACTAGGATTGTGTAATCATAAAAGGGGTAGGTAACATATTTACATTTTTAAAATAAGTGTAGAGAACAAAACTTTAAAAATAGGAATCTAGAATCAGATTTTTGTATAATATCAGAAGAGCTAGTTACAATAATTTTCACCCATCAAAAAATATCTGAAGGCTTGTTTATAAACTAATTTTCTGAGCTTAGATCTTATTCCAGAAGATCGATGTCTGCATGGTACATTGTACATAATTTAATTTTCTCATCTGAACATCTTGACACTATATGAACCATGAATGCATGAAATAGGAATTCCAAATGTCTTCCACATGGGGAGAAAGCTTTCGAATACTTCTGCAAGAAGCTTAAGAGTAGTTTCAGACTAAGTTATGCCTGTTCTTAGTGACTTTCATTATGTGTGCCTAAGGTATTAGCACTTTCCTCTGCCTGGGACCCTGAGGTGATGGATAGATGAGTCTGCTGTCTGTATTTAGACACTTTGCTCATTTCCTGAGAGCGATGGAAGGCATGTGGATGCTCATTAAGTTTCCAACCATTCCCCGAGAGCAACAGGTGGTGAATCAAAGCCTCCCTGGTATGTCACGGCTGGTTTCCTCAACGTCTTAGAAATAACGGATGGCATTTGAATGCTCTCTGTAGTACCAGCAGATAAGAAGTAGATGAATGGCAACAGGAAGTATTTCCAAAGCATAAACAAACACACAAGTCTAGGAAGATTATGACTAATGTTTTTCCTACCACACACTCTATATCCATACATGGCAGTTTCATCTTTTAAGTACTGTTACTTATTCAAACTATGAAACCATGATTAACTATACAGTGGTGGCTACCTAATAGAAGGAAGGTAACTTTTAGGAATAAAGAACATCCCAAGTTAATGAAATTATATCATAAAATTATGAATTTTAGCTCTACATTTATAAATATCCAGTGATAACTAATGACCCCAATGTGTCTTTAAATGATCTTTTCAAAATTACTTTTTTATACTGAGCACCTACTACACTATAACGAAAGCATATCTCCCACATGCTGCATTAGAGTGAGAAGACAAAGTTTATTAAACTATAAATAGAATCTGTGATTTAAATCAAATACTGGAGAGTTACCCAATAGTATTTGATAATTGTGTAGAAAAGTATCTCTAGTGAATAATGAAAGAGGTTTTTGTCAATGGATGGCTGCTTCTCACTAGAGTCATTAGTCAGGGATAGAAAAACAAAGGAAATATCAGAGCTACATGATCTCAACAAAGTACATCTGGAAATTTCCCATAACTCTAGGAATAAAAGCATTTACTGAAGGTGGCAATTCACCAGCATCCTTCCTAATTTGAAAAAGTTCAAAACATTTAGACTACCCCACAGGTGACTAGGCAAATGCCAAAGGTCCAGTGGGTTATTTTTCATGGTGGAGAATATAAGATTAAAATAAGATAATGAGTAGAACTGATTGAAATAATATTTTTTGGCTTTGCAATTCCTTCATTCTCAAATCCCCTCTCTTACCAAGAAAAGTGTCTCAAGCTCAAGAGAAGGGACAACTGGATTTCAAAGCACTGAGGTTCCTGTGAGAGGTGCTGGCACTGGCAGCATAGCCTTGCAGACCTACAAGAACCTGCTACCAGAAATGCTGTCCCAGCCCTTCTATATGCACCTCCTTTCAAACGTCTTCTCCCTTAGTTATAATGCTAGTAGGTTTTTTTTTTAAATTAACGCTGAATATCATTTTCTTAATTTGTTTTAAAATTCTATGATCCTCTAGTCATTTGTAAAATGCTATCTTTTTAATTTTTTTATGTGTGGAAGTTACTAAGGAACTACCGTAAATTAGCTCTACAGTATGAAATGATATATTAATTTATAAAGTTATTTTTGCTAAATAGCATGTGATAAGGAAGTCACTTTGGCTCTGGAATAAACTGTTGTCATAGAGTGTACTTTTCCACAGAAGAAGCCAAAGAGTAAAAATACATTACAATAACATATCTGAACTTTTAAGATGCTAATCTGGAAACACCAACTGAAAAGCCAGACCAAAATTTCTGAGTGCCAACCTGGAAGACATAGCTTTCATGACTATTAATTTTACCAAATATACTCATAAAATATTGTACATTATACATTATGACCTCTGGGAACTCAAGAATTTAACATATTTATTCTAAGATCACATTATTTCACATAACCCACACTAAGCAGACCCTTCATAAAATAGTATACACGACCCTCATACCGGAAGTAGGAATATTAATTTTAGAATAGACTAATGCCAAATATTGATTCAAAACATTGTAAGATGAGAACAATGTAAGAAAAAGACTGTACTTACATTATGTTATCCTATCAAATAGTTCTAGAATACGATTTTGTTGTTGTTGTTAAATAAAAAGCTTTTAAAAGAGTAACTACAGCTAGAGCAGTAGAACTTAAAGACTGTCAGTTGCCATGTGAAAAATTTTAAACAATTTTAAAAAATGTTTTGAACATTTTCAAGTAGTTTTGAACTATTTAAAACAATGTTTTCAAACTAAGTTTTAAGCAATTATTTCGAAAGATACTTAGCAGGTTTGTGGGTGCAGTATGTGTGTTGGGTCAAAATATTTTAGTAATATGATTTGTATTTTGCAGTGAGAATTACTGAGAGGAAATGGAAGCACAGACCTTTTAGAGGGATTACTACAATGGGTTAATCACAAAAACAGCTGCGTAAATGTTAGATTTATGGGGATGTTAAGACTAATTCTGGTCAAAATCTGATAGGATCTTATCAATAATTAAAATATAAAGGTAAAGAGATATTCTAGACTTTAAAGAATGACTACGTCTTCAAATGAAGTGGCATTGACATTTAAGGGGCATAGTAACACAATATACAGACCAGATAGCAATGGCAAATGTTAGCAATATCTGTGCTTAATTTTTAATCAAAAAATTTAGTTGGTTCACCTATAGAAAGTATTAAAGGAACAGAATTTTATTTTTAGCTTTCATTTTTTTCCCCGATTTTTTTCCAATTTGGGTGACTCTCATAATTACAGTTCTATGAAGCCAAGACTGTCCAGTGCAGTATTTACCTTTATCCCCGGGAGTCCAGGAAGCCCAGGAAGCCCTGGTTCACCCTACATAGGAAAATCACACAGCATTATAGAACAATATTCACTCAGTCATAATATCTGGAGAGAAACATGGCAAATGTTCCTAGCTGAATACTTTCTGCATATATAAATATTTCTAAAAAACTGTCTAGTTTCTAGAAGTTTGGTGAGATTATGCAGTTCAGTCAACTCTTGATTCAGGGATTTGCTGACCACTTTGCAGATTTTTCAGGATTTTTTTCTCTTCCTGCCAGTTCAGTGCTCATTGGCATCTCTATCAGAAGGCAAGACAGAGGAGTAAAAGGAGAAGGAACTCCTATATTTTATCACTCCTTTGGTAAATGATTTGTTGCAGAGGCTGAAGCTATCTGCCGAAATGAGGATTAAGTGTGCATTTCAATAATGTATCCTGTGCCAGTGCTCTCTCACCTCAGATAATCAAGAGTTGGCTGTATGAACAGATGGTCACATCAAAACAATAGGCATTAAAAGTCTTGCTCACTTAAAAGTATAGTAAGATTTCCTTTCCATTCCTGAATGATGAGAAGATAAACGAATGGTTAAGATTATACTTAACTCCAGCCTGTATTTCTGACAATTGTTGAGTCTGGGCAATGCTGCTTAGCAGCTTAGGGCTAATGGTACCGTGCAGCTGTTCCTGAATACAGGTTTGAGATTAAGTGGCACATTTTGGGTGAGCACAGTGGAGTCAAGCTAAACCTTCTCATTTTCACAGAATTGTCTACATTATTTTAAGCACAAAGTATGGTGACAAGAGGTTACATTGCTTAGAAAATCTCCTGAATTCCACTAAAGAAGCATAAAGCAATCTCAGGAGAAAATGAAAGTCCTCCCTGTGTTGGACTGAAGTGACTATTGTTTGTGGAAATAACGTTTGAAGGTAAAAGGATCATATTATTTCATGATGGTCAAGGGGATGACAACTACACTAAAAGAGACAGGAACATCAAACTATCAGTAAAGTGGTAGGAGGAGATACTTTTTAAAAATCTAAATGTTCCAAGGAAAATCCACTAAGAACAACAGACATTCCATCTTTAATATTATTACTTTCAAATTATGAAGAGCCATGATTTGCTCTGGTATTATCACAAAATGACTTCAGATACTGTTTAAGCTGTGTGATTAGACAAAAAAGAAACAATGACTTTCTTGATAGTTTAGGTCAAAGAGACTTCAGGAATGCAAAAGAAAAACTATTCTGTTCAAAACTATATAAATGAAAGTTTGCATTGTGAACAATAAGACTAAGATGAGAGTAAGCCAGAGAAGAAAGGATGATTATTAAGAACTTATTTGTTATTCCATTCAAAGAATACTTGCCCGAGTAGGTTAAACTTTACACAAATATAACACTATACATTTGATTTTCTTTCCCTTTCGCCCTTCAATCAATAAATTTAAGAGGATCTAGTAGAAAGGGCTTGTATACATATCTTTCTGAAAATTCTTTTACTTGAAAAAAATTATAAGGTCCTTGAAAACAGTGAGTTGCAGTAGAATATGCAACAAATGAAAGTAAACATACTGGTGACAAGTTATAGCTTTGTATGATTTTAGAGAAGTACCACAAATTTATTTTGGAGACATCCTATTTGAAACATTTATGGAAATACATAGGTTGTAACGCTATTTTCCAAGAGGAGTTCTCATCACACCCTTTCCTCCCACCAAATTAACAGGATTGTATGGCTACTTTAAAGAAAGACAACTTATGCACATATGCAAACATAGACACACATCCATGTTTTCTAACAATGAGAAAGATATATAACACATTATGAAGTATTTTATAATGTAGATGGAATACTTAAAGAGACGTTAAGCATTTAGCTTTTCCCTGTATCGTATGTGTATGTATGTGTGTTAGGTCATACATGTATTTTTTAGTGAACAAATATTTCAGAAAACCATATTTCATAGTCTTGGATTTTTATAAATTTGACCTTTCCAAATTTATGTTTACTTAATGTAGTCGTTGACATAATAAAAAATTATATTTAATGTTACCCGTTGTGGAACATTTCATAACATTTTTAGACAGTTCTCCTTACATAAATTCTGTATCTTTATACCATGAAAGCTTATCTTCTAACTAGAAGACAGGTTTTCATGTAACTTCTCCATTCTTGCCCACTCCTTGGCTGAAGAGCTTCTCTGAGTTGAGGTCTTGGGCTCGCACAGCCAGTAGGTCAGATCTGAGTCACCGTTAAGAATTGGTTTGTTATTCTATTCAAAGAATACTTGTCCAAGTAGATTAACCTTTACATGGATACACTATACTTTTGATTTTCTTTCCTTATTCTTTCCCTTTCATCTTTCACTTTCCCTTACAGGAGACCCTGAAAATCAGGACTCTGTTTTCACCTCACGTCCCTGCTACGGTGCCCTGTACTTCGACAGAGAGTTCAACTGTGAGGGTCCCTTCTGATGGGGGATCAAGGAATTTTACTTCTTTAAAATTAAAATACATATTTTAAAAAGATGTGGAGAAGTTAGGAAGGAAAGAATTAGGTGATGAAACACAATATCTATTTTATAAATCTACACATTCACTTTACAAGCTATATATGTGCAGTCCAACACACATATCAATCACTTACTCTACTATTGAGGCCATAAAAAGAAAATAATCCAATGAAATCATCTCTACAGTATGAATATTACTCTGGATATTAAACTTTGATGCTAGAAAAGACAACACAGCGGAAAGCTAATCAATAGGCTTTTTGCTGTGTCACGATGTTCTGTATTTTTCTGCGCATGTCCCTAAGCAGGAGCTTAAGTGCCAACGAATTCACACCACAGTTCTGCAATGGCAAGAAAAATGCCTCGGAAGATCTCTTGAATTGATTCTGTACTCAGTTCAGTTTGTCATTTTTCTAACCTAAGTAAACAGCAAGTGTGGAAGTACTTTACTTTTAAGTCAATGTTGGGGTAAGTATTGTGAGATCCCAATATTAGACAAAGGAAGTCAACACTATGGGAAAGTAAGATTGCATCAAAGGGTAGAGTCTTGCCTAAATATTAATGAAAAAGATGATGCTCATTTCAGGGCACATATTCATTCAGATGGGTTGTAAGCTTGTAATGAATCTGCTCCTCTCAATATAAGTATAATTTAAAATAGGTTTTTAATGAAATGCAAAAGAAATCCAACACTTCCATGGGTAAACCTATAAACTTCCAGAATAAATCTAAACTATATTTCTAAATAATCACGATAAAGCAATGTTTCATTAAATAATTGACATCAATTTGTATATGCCACTCTGAAAACAGTGGAAACTATACAAGATTCTAGCAGATTTGTTTTGGTTTATGTTTTAGAGACACAATAGTCTTGCAGATTTTTTTTTTCTTTTTTTTAAGCAAATCACAGACTTGGAGAGCAGTTTAAACTTAGTTTTTAATTTTTAAAGAGTAAGGGACCTAAAATTAGATCATCTGAGAAGATTAGTTTCCTTTTCAAACCAAAGCAGACCCTGTATTTCTTAGTATATCACAAATTCCAAATTCCTTAAATAAGGAATCAGTAGGAAATCTTAAAAATTAAATAATAAAATTTGTAGAGTTCTGCTGGGCTGTTTGGAAAAGTCTCAACTTTACCTGAAACTGGGCCCCACGAATCATTACTCTTAGATTCTTAATTTCAAGAGAAAAATGTTTTTAAATTAGAGAAATGTTTTAAAAACGTGAAAGACTTACTCAAAAATTACTTCCATCCTAAGTGTCTGAAACAAAGCAATGATCCTATCAGTGACATCAAGAATGTGGGAACAGTATTTCACTATGTCTTAAGGTTCCAAATTACTGTCTTGGGATTTATTCTTTCTTCCCCTTTCTGCTAATGAGTAAATTCTATTTTTTTCTATTCATATTTTTGTCTATAACAATAGCTACTGCTAGACAAAGGCAGGGTCATGATCTTAAGAGATTTAAGCTAATGTGAAATTCACATTTAATTGTTAACTACAATATATCTGTTATCTAAAATCTGACTGCACTGGGCATTCATATTCAGATGCTCAGAGGATAAACTGCTAACATGTGTTTCCTGCCTCAGACTCAAATGAGAATATGAATCTAAACATGTTCACAGCATGTCTTCTAATTTATTGCTGAACTAAAGCATAGATTGGTTAGTTAAAGTGGTATGGCTAGTGTCTCTAAATTTTAGTTTATTAACAAAGGTTTTTGGATAAAATAACACTCATGGCACACATAGATACAATTTGGATAAAAAATTAACAACAGGGAAGCATTTGCAATGAAAGGAAAAGGAACACAATTTTTAAAGAACCGCTATTTTCATTGACACAGTTAAGCAAACATTCATTCCTTCTCATGAAAGACAGACACATGCAGATTACCTTTAAGCATGCAAGATAAGTTGTTGGCATTTCAATCCAACTGATCTTTGTTAGTTTCAAACAGCTGAGCATCTTCAGACTTTAGTTCATAAAGCATGTACAGAGTTTTTACATGTACAGAGTTTGTTTTCATATTTTGCTATTGTCAGCATGAAGACCTTTAAAAATGCAAAACAACCAAAAATACTCTGTATGCAAAGCATGAAACCTTTATCATTTTGCAATACTAGTTTTCTTATTACACAGTGGATAGTTGATATAGAATGGTGAATGTGAGACAGTAAGAACACTCTAGGGGTAGAGAGATTACCTTTTGCCCTGGACGACCAGATTCTCCAGGTTCCCCCTGGCCAAAGAAAACCAAATATGAAAGGGACAGTTTTTTAAGAATTTCCCATAATCTTTAGGCCTCTGGGCACTTTCACAAAGACGGCCCAGAGTCCTTCTTGATCACATGCACTTTGTTCACGTTATTCTTTTACTCCACATCTCACTAGACATAGGTAAATTTTTCTTGCTGTGAATATACCTATAGCCTACATATAAATCCACATTTCCATAAAAACCAATCAGAAAAGGAAGAAAAGACAAAGCTTCTTATTTACACCTTCATCAGATTTCCCACAGATATTCCCCACTGTCTTTGGAAACCAATTATTGCAGGAATATAGGAACAGAGTTATAACCCTCAAAGTTGGTAAAAGGGGAGAGAAAGTAGAGGCTCATAAAAATCAAAACTATGACTCCTGGGGTATGAACACTTGCAAAGTGATAGTTACCTTAATTCCTGCAGCAGATGATCCAGGGTCACCCTAAAACAAAACCCATGAGAGATTATGCTACAAATTATGGGAATAGGAAACACCACAAACACCGAGAGAACCATTACCGACACAGGTACTCAAAGGGACCCCATGGATGGGCCCAACTGTGCTCCACAAGACTTTCTACCAATAAGTCAACTGTTAAGATGTCAACAATTTCCAAGATAAACAATTTAATTCCTAAAAACATGGGCTTACTGTGAATGCAAAATATCTAAGAACTACATTCCTTGAAATAAATACAAATATGTAAATATGAATCTGTTCCCTTGATACAGTGCTTAAAAATGCATTCTGAAGCAGTAAATGATAGGGATGTGGAACTTTTGGTTTTCTTTATTTCTAGGATTTATTAATGTCATCAGCTATCATTTACTGGGAGTTCCCTGACCCTTTTGGTCTTCAGAAAGTCAAGGTTCAACAGATGAAGTCAGAAGGTTAATGATGTCGAGTTGGAAAAAGCCACGCAGCAGATCAGTTTGTTTTCCTCCTCATGAAGCACTGTCACAGTTACACCCGGCACATTTTTTCCAACTTTCCACTTCTTTCTTCGTAACACGGTCAACAAAGAAGTAATAGGATGATGGATGACTTGTGGGTGAGGGTGACACATGTAAGCTCTGAGAGAAAGTCTTGAGACAGAATCTGGTTTTTTAGAAAGCACAGTATTCCACCCAGATTTCACAGACAGTGGCTACATTTCTAAAGCAAATATGTTATAAATAAGCAGATAGGGACTAGTGGAGAAGAGAAAATGGATCAAACGGAGAAAATGGAGCAAAGGGCCTAGATATTTAAGTTCCTTCTAGCCCTCTCTGTCCCATGAACATGCTAGAAGGAAAAAGAAAAGGGGGAATACTTAGCCATTTGAAACTGTCAAGAAAATAGAAACACTTACTGGAGGAAGGCACACATTGGGATTTCCTCAGCTGTCTCATCTGTACAAATGCTCAGGGAGCTCCAGGGGCCTATTTCCTTGTTCTAGATTCCAGAAGCTGCTCATCAATCTCTTTTAGAGACAGACCTAAGGCCTCAGGCCTCTGTACATGGAACACTTGTTCCCCTCCCTCCACTCCTCTCCCTTCTTCCCATGGCTGGCACCTTCTCTTTCTTCAGGTCTCAGCTCAAGTGGCTTTGCCTCAAAGAACCCTCCACCGACCAACCCAGACACATGCCCCCTCACGCACACATCTTATCGTGCAGCATCCAGCTCTGCCCATGTCTGGCACAGCTCACTTTGTAACTACCTGTTTATGTTCCCTGCCTATTCACTGTCTGTTCCCCATTAGACGGTCAGCTGATGTGAGCAGGTTCTGCATCTGGTTTTTTTTTGTTTTTTTTTTCAGAGCCCAGCCCATACTGTGTGCTCAATACATATATAGTGAATGAAGGAACAAATCTCAAGAAGAATTTTTTAAACAGGTTAGTAGTGAGGGATCAAAATGAAAAAAACCTTTAAAAAAGAAATAAAAAGCTTTAAGAAGTAGGAAATAGTAAATTAGCTTGTTGAGGAAACAGATAAATATGAGTTTCTTTGACATCTGTAATTGCTATTACCTAAGGAAAAATTGAAACATGACTAAACATAAAGAAGAGGGGGGGCCCCAAATGCCGTCTCACTATAAAATGATACTGATTTCTCTTCCCAGTCATTAACATTCAATTGAGTTCCAAAAGGGAAGAAAAATAAATGTGGCTAATAAAGTAATACTTATTTCTATTTCTACTAAATTAGCTATCAACACCAAAGAATCAGGATTGCAATATTTAGCAAAATAAGATCTTTGAATTCATAAAAGCAATTCTGACTTTGCAAATCTCCTTCTCTCATTTCATTTATACCTCACAAAACTCCCATGGGATAGGGCAGATATTACTATTTCCATTTAACAAATGAGGAAATTGAAACAACTGGTGGGTGAATGTGAGGATTACTAAATTTTACTGCCATGTTCTTTTTATCAGAATAAGAGGAGAATGGTTGGCTTATTTCATTTTGAGAACAGGGTATAAAGGTTGTAGTAAACTTATACATAAAAGGAAGTTGTTTACATTAACTGTAGTTTTTTTTAGTATTTTAAAGAAAAGTAGTTAGATAATCCACTGTATGAGAATAAAGGCTGGATTTAGTTCTCACAGAATGTGGATGGAAAGAAAAGAACAGTATCTTGAAAGGCTGATTTATTTGTGGAAATCTGAGCTGTTTCATTTGATGGACAACTAAAAGTGATATTTTTATTCTCTTTAAAAATTTAGAACTGTGAAATCTCAAGGAATTTTTATAACTTTTAAGTGGCAAGGCAACTGCTGGAAGACGTTCATAAGTTAAACATTTTAAAGGATAATGCTGCAAGTAGTGGAAGTAAAACAGTGTGTGTTTTTAATCTTCCTTCCCCCTCAAGTGAAAATGAATACAGGATTAAAGTGGGGGAAGAAAAAAACCCACTATGTCTTAAATATACTCTTAGCTTCGTAAGTCAGTTGGTTTGAAAATAAAAACTTTCATAGCATTATTCATAGATGGAGAAATACTGTGAGAAGATACTTGAGGTAAATAAACTTTATCATTTTAAACTCAAACACAGTTTCTGTTTTTGTTTGTGATTATTTTCAAACACAACACTCAGTAGATAATACAAGTATGTATGTGATAGTAAAGCATATATGGATATATAGAGTGAATGTGGAACTTATGCCTATCATTCATTAATTAATTCAATAAATATTTATTGAGCACTAATTGTTTGCTGGGTATGTTTTGGATGCAGGGATGTGGGTGCTGGAAAGACAGTAGTGAGCAATGCAGTTACAGTCTCCGCCCTTGTCCTTCATTACAATAATCACTTGCTGACGTATGTCATACAAAAATATATCAGTTGAAAGCATGAAAAATACTTTCTTTTTCTTTCTTTAGATTTTTTTTTTTTTTTGAAACGTGGGCTAGGAAGAGACTGTTATGTTTGGGAAATTCTGTGTCGCTGTGTATACACAGAAGTGATAGGCAATGCATGGTACAGGACTAATTCCATCATCCAATGAAAATAAGAAACAATTTAAAGTAAAACATCATTTAAAAAGTTGTTCATTCAGTAAGCATTTCCTAACTTCTAACTACGTGCCAGGAACTTGGGTTGGTGCTGGGAATAGAACAGTCTGGCCTCCTACAGTTTTTTGTTTGTTTGCTTGTTTCTTTTTCAGTGAGCTGGATGTCCAATTTAACGAAGAATTATAATAAGCCATGATAAGAGTTATGAAAGGGATTATAAAGAGTGCTGTGGGAGCATATAGCAGGTGACCTAACAATCCAGAGGAGACTGAAAGGCTGCCCCAACATGACATATAAGCCCAGGTTTCAGTGGACTGAAGAATGAACAGGATTAGGAAGTGCAGCAGTGGAGGTGAAGCATTGGAGGAGCAGGGCAGAGAGTAGGAGTGTCATAAGCTAAGGGAGTAAGCGTGTGCTAAGTTACAGAAGGCCTGGTGTTGAGTGGGGTGGGAGGGCCCACTACGATAGGCATTAAGATGTGATTTTAAGAAAAGAAGGCAATTTGGTTGGTGGCTTCAAATATGGTGTGGCTTCTGAAAAGGCTCGGAGGATGCAAATCAAAGATGCTATGTGGACATAAAGTAAGAAGGCAGCATATACATAGGAATGGAAACTGGGGGAGCCAAGAAAAGGAAAACACAGGTAATGCCAAGAAAGTGAGGGTATAGCTTTTGAAGCAACAGATACAACTGTAAATAACAGAGTGGTGTGGTCAAACCACTCAGTGTGCTACACAGAAACCCACTTTCAAGTGGGGGGACACAGATTAAAAATCTATGTCTACATTTGTTGGTGGGATTAATTGTAAAGAGTAGAACATAACCCTTCTATAGTAGCTCTACATATGATTGAAATCAGTCTTTGGCAGGTTGTTCTTAAACCTACAGTGCACTGTAGTTGCTGGCCACAGAGAAAACCCAGCCTAGTGGTCTTTTATAGTTCCACAGTATTTCCAGACGATTAGTCTGGAAAGAATTAGATTGCTTTACCATCCAAAGGCACTGAGTTGGATCAAAAGGAAAAAAATCCTATTAAAGTGAATCAATGACGTAATTTACTACATCAATGGCAGAAAAGATGCATTTTTTTTAATTTTATATCTCAAATTTGGTAAATGATGAATGAGTTTCACATACAGAACACAAAGGCCATGAGAAGAGTGTTTCCAACATGCTGAAAACAAATTATATGACAGAAGCAGGAAATGTTAAAAAACACATCAAAAATTATATTCCAATTACAGCATTCTTGGGATGAATGCTCAGGGTCAGATTACATATTATACACATTACAGATTCCTATTTACAATCCCCTGTTTAGACCCATTTAAAGTTTATAGAAATGATTTCCGTTTTAACTGAAGCATTTCTTGTACTTAATTTCAGCTGACTAATAAAACTTTTTGGTAAAAAAAAAATACTTGATTTCAATTTCCATGTGGTAAGAAAAGCTAACACTTACTGAGCGTTTATTATGTGTGAGTCAGTATGGTAAATGATTTGCATAAATACATAAGATAAGAATAGTATTCCTTTGAGATGACCTTGGTCTTTTCAAAGAAAAAAGTTGCTTTACTATTGTGAAAATAAATTTCAAAAAATGTGTGATTAAAAAAACAGTTATTGGTTTATGTTTTAAAAATGAAGCTTTAAAAATATATCTTCTAAAGTACAAAATTCTCTACATAAATCCACATAGGCGTAGTTCAGACTTGTTATAAATTTTTTCAGTTGAAGAAACTGCCCTCTGTATAAAATATTTCATTTCTTGGAGCAGAGGTTGGCAACTGTGGTCAAATCCAGCTGTCCACCTACAAGGCCATGAGCTAAGAATGGTTTTTACTTTTTAAATGGTTTAAAAAATCAAAATAACAATAATATTTCATGACATGTGAAAATTACATGAAATCAAAATTTCAGTGTCAGAAATAAACTTTTATTGGAAAACAGCCACATTCATTTGTTCACATATTGTCTATAGTTGCTTTCACACAATGACAGAGTTGAGTGGTTGTAACAGACCCCATATCACCTCAAGACCTAACATATTTATTTTTTGGCCCTTTACAGAAAAAGTTTGCTGACCTCTGCTTTTAGACAAAAACAAGAAAGTTAAATATAACATCCAGGTTTATATATCTAGGGTTTCAAATTTTGATTTCAAGAATAGTCAAGGTATATCCACGGTTTCATTTGTATTAAACATATTCATGTCATTTGATTGCAGCATAATACTTAAATTTGGCAGATAAATAAAATGGGGCTACAGCAGTGGTACTCAACTGGGGATCATTTTGTTCCCCAGGGAACATTTGGCAATGCCTGGAGACATGTTTGGTTGTCACAGCTCAGGGGATGCTACTGATACAGGGTAGAGACCAAGAATGATGCTAAACGTCTTATAGCTCCCAGAGCAAAGAATTATCTGGCCCCAAATATCAATAGTGCTGAGGTTGTGAAATCCTGGTCTACATGTAACTCAGAATACACTATAATTTCTAGACTATTCCTCAAATAAAAACACAATTGCTACTTGGTGACATTAATTTCTTACTACCACCCAAGCAATACTTATGTTAATATTTATGAGAAGGAGGAAGATATATTTCTTTTTATTTTGTGGATATGTTTTTATAACTAACCATTATCCATCTGTACTATAATAATTTTCAAAGTGAAAATAGTCCTATTCTCAACTGTAAGCCTAAATGAATAATTCTTTTTTTCATCACTCAGTTACTCAGCTTGATTTAAGTTAAAATCCACCTGACTCTATTCTATTTTCAGTTTCTCAAAAGATATTCCTAATTCTTTTTTTTTCTTTTCTTTTTGTTATTTCTTCTCCTTAAATCTTAACACATAGCACAAGTGAATTAAAATATCCTTTCTGTGTTGGAGATGTCTGTAAAGTACTAATCCAAACAAAAGCTATAATGGTAGACAGAAAGGGAACAACAACAACAACAAAAGAACAGGCAGGAAGACATGTCACAGACTACTGCAATAAAAATGCTAACGATGGTTTAAAAGACGTAACACAGGATGACAAAATATTCAGATTTAGTGAATTTCAAGTTAAGGCAAATTTTCATCGACATTCACTTACCATCAAACTTTTAAGTGACATTCATTTACAATCAAACTTTTAAATCTTATCCCAATCCTCTGACACGTTCCCTCCTAAAACTGAGACAATCTGAGTCACTTTAGGAACACTATTTTTACAGCCCTCTGTGTAAAGGGAGTATCCGATTTTCACATGAGTAAGTATTTTTATTCCTTGAAAGCCTATTACTGGAAACTTAGCAATACATTTTTCTGGAACTTTTGACATAGTATCTTACTTTCAAAATATTTAAATTTGTAAACAGATCCTTGTGGAATAATCACCTTTTATAAATCAAATGTTTAAATGGTTTCTAATCTTGGAGAATTATTTCTGACTTCATCATATCAAACTATTCTCACCGATCTCAAAATCTCCCATTTCTGGGCCGGCCCGGTGGCGCACTGGATAGTGCGCCGCTTGGGAAGCGCGGCGGCGCTCCCGTCCGAGGGTTCGGATCCCACATACAGACCGGCTCCCGCTCACTGGCTGAGCGAGGCGTGGGAGCAACACCGAGGCTTGCGATCCC